GTAAAAATTTTTTAATTATTTTAATTAATTTAATTAAAATTTAAGATTTTATCTTTTTTATTGTTATTATTTGATCCCGATTATAAATATTATCATATATTATATATAATATAATAGATAATATATTATAAATAAATAAATATATATATTAAATAAAAATTTAAATAATTATATTTATGTTTTTTAATATTTAAAATATCTAAAATAAATAAAAAAAAATATTATTTTTTTATGAAAAAAAATCTTGATTTTTATAAAATAATTATTTTTAACAAGAAAGGATATTATAAAAACAATTTTAGGATTTTATGGTCTTTTTGTATTTATTTATATAAATTTTTGAAAGTATTAATATAATTTAAATTTTGTATTTATATTTTAATAATTAAAACTTAAACCTTTATTTTTATATTTTTTAAAATTATGAATTTATTTTTGGAATCGCTGGTTTAAAAAATAAATTAATTGGATTCATTTAATATTACCAATGATAGAAAAAAAAAAGTATTTATTTTGATACAAATTTTTGAATTATATAATTGCAATTGATTATTTAAGAAATATTCAATATAAAAAGAATATTAAATTTATTTGTCATGTAAATAATTTTAATAAAAGTAATTTTTATATAATTAAATAGAAAATAAGAATAAAAATATTAGATATTTTTAAAAAAATAATAAAAAAATTTTTAAAAATATAAAATATCAAGTTTTTTATATAAACAATATTTTTTTTTCTGATTAAAACAAAAATCATATAATACAACTGTTTTGTTGAAAAAAATTACAAATAATTTTTCACGAAACTTGATTAAAAAAAACAATAATAGTGATTAAAAAATGAAAAAAAAAACTAAAAAAAAAAACATAATAAATCAACAAGAACAATTGAAATGAAATCCATTTGTTTTATTAATATTCAAAAAATTATTAATAAAAAATTAAAGTAAAATACTAATTTTTATAATTTAAACTATATTAATATTTATTTTAATTTTAAAAAAAAATAATTGAGAATAACAATAAATAATTTTTAAAATATGTTGCCTATAAACAATGATTTTAAAATATATATACATATATATTATATATTAAAAAATATATCTAAAAAATGACAAAAAAAAAAAAAAAAAAAAAATTAAAACTAATTATTAAAAAAATAAACCAATTAAATATTTATTAGATATTTATTAGATATAAATTGAATTTAATTTAAATAAAAAATGATTCAATTGAATTCAGATTGATTTTATTTAAAATCCAATCTAATTTAATTAGTTATAATTATTAAGTCAAAAGATAAATTTCTCAATCACTCTTTTTGAAATCTTTTTATTTTCTTTTCTTTTCCAGTTATTTTAATAATTTATTATTTTTTGGAATAATCAATAGTATCAAATTATTAGAGAAATATAATACTGTTTCCTGAATCTGATTTAGAATATCTAGTTGAAACTTAGTTTTGTTTAAACCAAACTAGATTAATGAATTTCTCATATTTTTAAGTAATATAGTCTTCAACAAAAACAAGTTAATTATCTTGTGAAAATATATTTAATATTGTAATATTTATCTAATATCTCAATAAAGACATGCCATAATGGCATGATTGTGAGTAAAAAAAAAAAAAAAAAAAAATCAATAACCTATATGTTATATTCTTTATTATAATTTTTGAAAGATACTGTAGTTCTTAAAGAAAATTATATTATGCATAAATCAAAATATTGCACTTTATATAGTTATATTTATTAGAGAAAGCATCTCAATGAGCAAAAGAATACACAATATCTAATGCACAACCATTTTTATTGATTAATAAGAAAAATATAAAACATCAAAATTGCATAACACAAATTTGAGTTTTTCCAGAGCAGTAGAGTTTACTTGAGTTTCTTCTTTGGGCGCAATTGATTAGTGTGACCACACTGCAAAGTTCCGAGTAAATGAAAAAGAGTACAGAAAGATTATTCAAATGTGATTAAACCAGACCGGTCGCACTCCAGTGCAAAGTTAAATAAAACATGCGAACCTTTTTCTTACGACAGTTAGTAGCACGGGGTGGTAATCGTGCATAGCATTTACGGCAAATCATTTTTTCACAATTATACTTCGACGCGAGTGCCTTAAGGGAGGGTTCAATAAGACCCCCACGAAGACGTAAAACTAGATGTAGAGTAGATTCTTTCTGTATATTGTAGTCGGATAATGTACGTCCATCTTCGAGCTATCATTATGAAAAACTTGTTAGAAACGCTTACACAATAAATCGAATATAGAAGGTGAAGATACTTTATCTTTACCTGTTTACCGGCGAAGATCAGACGTTGCTGATCCGGAGGAATGCCTTTAATTTACAGGTTAAACCTATTAATAAAGTGTACAAGTATGTTTTATTAAGGAATTAACACATTACCTTCTTTATCTTGAATTTTCTGTTTGACATTGTCAATCGTATCGGTGCTATGATGAAAAAAGGCGGATTCAATAATTAGACCTTAATTCTCAAGCAATTAAAAAGTGCAACACGTTAATACTCTGTAACTTTTATTACCTCTCTACCTCGAGAGTAATGGTCTTCCCGGTGAGGGTTTTAACAAAAATCTGCATGGTTATTGATTTCGAAGGAAAAAAAAAAAAGATGACTTTTATGTGCCATCGTGACAAACCACGTGAAGTAACCCGTAGCCAATAAAATCCAAAGAAATTATCGTTTATCATTGATTTCATGATGTCGTTCTCTCGAATGTTTCGAAATGGCACAATTCTTTCGCAAATCAATAAAGTCCAAATCATTTCTAAGAACTCATTTGCAGTGACTTCAAAACAACAATTATTTGCGCCCCAACCTCGAAATTTGTTGAGGAAAAATTTGCTATGTAATGAGAGGAATCATGCGACAAGTACTTATGCGAGTCCAAATGGTCGTAAAGTTTCCGAATATGTGAAACCCAATAGAACACTCGTAAAACGAGTCTTGCTAATCCTATTCCCAATCGTAACTTTTGGCCTCGGGACCTGGCAAGTGCAGCGTTTACGTTGGAAAGTTGGGCTAATTGAAAAATGTGAAGAACGATTATCCGAGCCAACAGTAATTCTGCCAAGGAAAATAAAGTAAATAAGACAGACGCTGATTGTTACGCGCCCTATTCCTCCTACATTTTAGAATTTTATGATTAAATTGTCAATTTGTCAGAATGAATTCTTTGAATGAATTCATCTACAGGCGAGTTAAAACTTTGGGCAAATTTCAACACGACCAAGAAATGCTATTAGGGCCTCGATCTTTAGACAACAAACACGGTTATTACGTCATCACCCCACTTGAACGAGAAAATGGGTGCATAACTTTACACTTTGGATCACAATTCATCATCGACACAAGAGTCCAACATTAATCTTGCAATTATTAGGACGACAGTGTTAGTCAAGCGAGGATGGATATCTAAAGACAAAATTGATTCCGCATCAAGGAAGAGTGAAAAGGTTTGTACTATTGCTTTATTTATCGGGGAGTATGATCGTCGTCAAGATAATGAATTATCTAGGAATTTTGTGCTAGGACGAGATAGTAATGGTGGAGGGATTGTTGAAGACATCGGACAAGGTAATAATGAGTCGGATTTATGATTACTTTCGCTTTCATAGTCTTTTACGCATCGGGTAACGTCTCATCGATCGACAGAAATCTTTGTTCACTCCGGAAAACAAACCAGAACAAAATCAGTGGTTGTGGACTGACGTTGAGACGATGGCCGAAAGAACGGGAGCACAGCCCGTTCTGATAGAACAGAATTTTGGTATAAAAATTCTTTCCTCCTCATCCCTTCCGCTGTCAAACAACGGATTCACCGATCTAATTAGCTTTTCTTTTTTGCGCGTGCATTCGGACAGAAGGCTCGCCTTCCTTGATCAATCAGATGATTCAAGACGGCATCCCCATTGGAAAAACACCGCGCGTGGAATTACGCAATACACACTTGCAATACGCGGTCACATGGTAAAACATCCTATCAAGTTTCGTAAACTGTACAATAATTATGCAAGGTCAATAATCCTCATTGGTCTAATTAGGTATTCGTTGTCTGTGGCGACAAGTGTTATGCTCTACTTCCTTTTCAGAAAGTCACCAGATAAACATGTCAGGCAAACAAGGAGATGAAATAATTTTACACGGATGTCACCAGGTTACATTGATCAACCTACTTGATCTCGTCGGTACACTGTTCACATTATCGCACAATTCTTTTTATCGTCTTTATTATTATCTTCATTTCCGAAGTATCTGTAGAGTTGTGATTTAAATCGGTACATTGCCGTGAAATCAAAAAATTTACGACTTACTTATTAATGGTGGCGCTTCGGTTTCCTGATGACGGAGCAGTCGGAAGATGAGGATCTTTCCTTTGCAACTGTATTTCAAATAAAAAGGTTTAGTCTGAGATTCTGAAGTGCCCGTGTTTTTGAAATCTGATTGAACTCACCTTTTCATCGTTGATAATCTGACCATATGGATTGAAAGCTATGTATGAAAATAATGGTATAATGAATTAAAAAAGAGGAATCTCTATGTAACAATGAAAAAAAAAAACGATGAATTTCTACTAACGCTGTTCCTTACGGATCGTCGTTGATGACGATTTTGATGTGCTTTTGTTTAAACCCCGTTTATTCCCGGATTTTGACGTTTCCACGCGAAGTTCGGAAGACTCGCTAGTTGATATTACGGACATCAAACTGGATGGCAGTTGTGTGTGATCGACAATGACACTTGACTCGTCGTCGTTCAATTCTGATATTATAAGGTGTTAATCAAACTTACTGACGAGACGAAAAAGAATAATCAAATAATCACACTTTATACCCACCAACTACTTTATCCTTCTTCCTCTTTTTCTGTTTTTTCTCCGGATTACTCTCATCGTCTACAATGGGTTCAACATATCTAACGGAAGTACTAGCTGAGGATTCAGCTTGCGTTATCGCATATCCTTCCTTGACCGAACTTCTTTTGCGTTCGACGGATTCCGTTTGTGTTTCGGTGTCCTCGTCGTCGTCATGCCTTTGGCGCTTTTTGGAGGACGTCGACAGATTAACAATTTCGCGTTGTTTCCCTTTCAACTTGGTAGTCCGCTCCTCGGCTGTAGTATAAATAATTTCCTCGGGATATTGTTCTACCACCGAGCCAGGCGTGAGGTTAGCTTCGACCGCGAGTTTGATGGCTTTAGGCAGCACGGGTAATGAGAATGTAAGGTTAGATAGGATCTCAGCAACCTTATTCCGTGACACCTCGTTCGTCGTGACATTCTATGAATATAAATATATATATATATATACATATATATTTTTTTTTACGGAAACACAATTAGCATCATCAAATTTATCACTACTGTTACCGGTGTTTGAGAGCCAAACCTTGTCTAAAGAATCTCCGAATAGGATAGAATTTTTTGCACGGATGGTGTCTACATTGTATTTAGGTACCGAGGAATCCAAGACCCACCTGACATTTTTACCTGGCGATCACAATGTATTTAATGATAAATTGGGTTAACGTTAGCTAGCTTCTCTATTTTCTCAAAAAAGAAAAGAAGTTTGAGTAATCCCCTCGAAAAAGAATAATACTTTTGATGTTCAGTTCTACATCTTGCATCTTTCCTGCAGCAGTTTTACTTTGAGATGGTGGGACCTCGTTTGATGAAAAGGTCGCTTTTCCCTTGGCCTCAACAATCAACATTACCAATTCGAGGGCATGCTCTCGGACGAGCGGAGGAACATACCCTTTCAGGCACTCTGATATTTCTTTAGGATCTTCAGGCATCCGTTCAGAAAGAAGAAAGAGCATATCATTTGGAAGCACATAACTATATACGAGAAAAACGGTGAATATTAAAAAGGTGTCGAGAGTTAAGAATAGATGTTATAGACTACGCTGTAATACTTTATGCTTTCATCTTCTAATCTTGCTATAGTATCTCTCCATTCGTGAAGAGATCTAAACACCGCAAACTACAATTCAAATTATATGTCAAAATTAACAAACTTTTCGTACAGCATGCAGATTTCACAACCATCAAACCTGTTGTCTATCCAATGTCGCTCTCCATTTATCCAATAGCCTCTGGTAGCCCCCCGGTCCCTTTCCTGTTTTATCGTAACCAAATGTCTCATAAACTTTGAGTGACACCTCGGCAGAACGATCCAGCGTCACTTTCAAGAAGTTCAATGTTATTGGGTCGGAATTTAGGATTAGATCATTACGCATGCAGTCATATATATAAAGCAGGTAGTGCGTATCGGTGCGTGCATAATGTGTCATTTCCTCTGTAAGAGGCCTGGAAAAAAAAATCAGGGTATATTATTTATGAAACTTTCAAACAAAATTATTCAATCTCATTCTTTATTAAATAATAAATCTTCTTTACCTCAGGCGCCAGTCGGCCAATTGATATTTTTTGTCAGTTTCCACTTTACAATAATTTCTTAGTAAGTAAGCCAGGGAATGTTGGGGTAACCCTATTTACAGATTTCAAACAGTTTATTTTAGTTTTAATTTTTTTTTTTTTTTTTTTTTTTTTTTTTAAAAAAAAAATAAAATAAAATAAAAAAGGTTCCGAAATGATTACCTAAAATATAAGAGGCTGCACCGGTATCGAACATGTTGACAACGTAGACGCCAAAATCTTTTTGCAACCACTGGATATCATAATCAGCCCCGTGGAAGACCTGAGCACGTGCCACATTTCCAGGAATTCGTCTGTTAGATAAGTCTTAATTTTTAACTATATGAAAGGTCGTTGAAAAATCCCATCTACCTTTAATATATTCGGGTTGGTGAAAGCATTATTAAGGGTATGTAAAGAATCTCTTAATTCCAGTGCGTCAATAATAAAATCTTCATCGCGTGTGCTGATTTGTATAAGGCAGGTGAATCCTTGGTATGATCGATAATCATGATGCTAAGTCAAAAATTTTTTCGGTCAAATTAGACTATATATACAGTATATGTACATATATATATATGAAATTGTTGTGTAAGAAGAAATTACTTCAAGATCGACCGCGAACTCCCGTGACGCCTCCAATTTTTGACACACGGCGGACAACTCTTCCAAGGTATCGACCCAGGTAAACGGGGTGGTCTCAATCGAGGGATAATTTATGGGTGGGTTCTTTTCGAAGATAAAACTTGGATACTTTATATTCGTTATCTCATATTGGTAAGGATGAGAATGGCTGAGAGTAAACCAAGTTAATAATTAAAAATTATTTCGCGAAACAAATTTTCACTTTCTTTCAGACGAATACCTGGATCCTTCTTTAAAAGGCACTATTCCATTTGGTTTATATGAAAGTTTCGGGACAAACGGTGCCCCAGAATTGTCAACTTTATTCTTAAACTTAATCTGCGGGCGACCAATTACCCGAGAATAAACAACATTGACTGGTCCTGACTAGTTGTCAAACAGAATACACAAAATATTTATTATCGGATGATGTATTATTCGATTATTCAAACTTCCCTAAACACGAACTTTGGATTGTACTTTTCCAATGGTGGGCGCAAGTTGAGTTGCGCTCGACGCGGCAAACTTGCGGTTTCGACCGGTAAACTCGTCCAAGGAAATGTTCTAAGCCGAATTTAAATAAATGTCATTCGAGTCGACTTAACGCATTCAAATGCTTATATTAATTACTAACCGCGCCATCAAGCAGCGAATCATTCAACGTAATAATATCTTTGTACCAAATGTCAACTTCTTTGGCATCGGTTACCCTACCAAGCTGTTCGCAACCCGGCAAGTCAACATTTGCGATCAATTGATTCAGTTTGGTTCTGATCCTTTTCGATAGAATATCTAAGGTACCGGTCAACACAGGATCTACTGTACGATAAAACTTGATTTCCCCTTGAGGAAGCGCGAGCCTCTGCTTCTGCACGTAAGAAGCTAATGTTTGAATCGCATCTTTCTGATATTGATCATAATTTTCCGATGTAATGGTTCTAGCCACCCCCTCCATCTTAGAAAGCTGTCAGTTTGACTCGAGATTGTCATCAATTATTACCATTTTTTATCACGTGAATAGTTTAATTAAATTGTTGACTCGAGATGTAACACACCATCTCTAATTTGGTAAATCGTGTGTTGCTCCAAAATCAACAAAAGCTCGTTTTCTTACAATATGGGACAAGAAAAGTCTCGACCTTTGCAAGAAATGGCTGACCAAAGCAATTGTAATTAGAAACTATAATTATCTCGAACCGTCTTTGGTGTCTGTTGCTTTATCTTTTTTTTTTTTTTTCACTCTTTCATAGTTAGCCCGGAAGAGATCCAGAGGCTTTACATAAGGTTTATGAAACTCGATAGAGACAATTCAGGTTCCATTGATAAAGATGAATTCCTTGCCATTCCACAAATCGCAAGCAATCCATTAGCATCACGAATGATTGCCATATTTGATGAGGACGGTGGTGGAGACGTGGATTTTAAGGAATTTATTTCGGGGTTAAGCACATTCAGTGCAAAAGGGAATAAAACCGACAAATTGCGCTGTAAGTGTTTCTAACTTCAAAAGTAAAGGGATTGATTGTTTCTTTTAGAAATTGAAAAATCTTAATATTACTTATAGTTGCCTTTAAGGTTTACGACATGGATAGAGATGGATATATTTCAAATGGCGAATTGTTTATCGTTTTAAAAATGATGGTCGGGAATAACCTTAAGGACAATCAACTTCAACAGATTGTTGATAAAACGATCATGGAAGCTGATAAGGATAAAGATGGGAAGATTTCTTTTGAGGAATTCTGTGAGATAGTCGAAGCAACTGACATCTCAAAGAGTCTAACCCTGACGGAATTCTAAAAATACCTAGCTTAATTATTAATAACTAGTTTTTCTGTCATTTCTTTCTTCATTCCTTTTTTTTTTTTTTTTTTTTGCTAATTAATCAAACTTTCTTTTAAAGAGAAATGCTAGGTGAGTTTATTAAAATACAAATCGTGTAACTATTATTATTTTTTCTTCTGATTTTAATTTATTAATGACTCAAATAAAGATTTGTAAATGCATTGATTTTTCAAAAACTCAAAGTCTATACATGGACTTGGATCCTACTACCGTAACAGCGCCAACATAGGTAAGCATCTTTGCCGTCTCACCTTGTTGATTGTTATTTAGAGCAATGTTTGTTCAATATTAATAACGAACGAAATGGATTAATCAATAGGTGTTATACTCTTAATAACCACAGTTCCATATCGCGACATATTTCATTTGATTACTATTGATAATTTTAAATTTTATTATATTTAGTCGAAGCAACTTTTACTTTTGAAAAGGGACATACACATCTTCATAAATCCTATCAATCATTTAAAAATTTCATTAGCAATACTTATTAAAATTAATATTTTCTTTAATTCAATGTTAGGTTGGTACAAGTATTTATTCACTCATAAATCTTATATATTTTAATTTGATATGTATAAACTATTTTATAATAAAAAAAAAAAATTTTTTTTTAACAGGAAGTAGTCTCGATTTCACTTTATTGTGTTTTGTTTTAAAAAAAACTATTATAATAATAATAAAAGATATTTTACGAATCGGTGATTTTCATATATCAGATGCAATTTAGGAAATAATATTTATCGATTTGGATTATAAAATCATGGTTTACAATTCATTACAATCAAAGTTCTACTTGTGAACTAAAATTTTAGTCATTTTTTATCATCGAAAATCCATTTTTCTATAATTTTAAATACTTATTGTTAGATTTTGATTTTACCAAACTTTCTCAAAAATTTATTAATTTACAAAGGAATCAACTCTTTTTCTTCTCGAATTTTATTACCTTAAATACTTATCTTATGACTTAATTATTATTATTTTTTGGTTATAATCATACAATATTTATTATTATACTATATATTGTTTTTTAAGTTATTTTTTCAAATATTCAATCATATTTTTTGTTTTTTTTTTTTTTTTAACCCGCAGTCAGGTCAGTATGGCGTGTCTTTATTGTATATATATTAAGTATTTACAAATTGTTGTGACTTTCACATACTGACTCACTCGTCGTCGAAAAAACTATTTCTCTAAATGCAACCCAGGGAATGATACTTCGCTTCTTTACTAATTTGGATAATTCCTCTAATTAATAAAATCATTGCCTACAAATCATTACTGTAGATTCAATCATATTTTTTGTAAACAATTATATATTGTATATGTTATAATATAAATAATATTATCTTATTATCAAATTTTCTTAAATTATATAATCAATTTTATTTACATAAAAAAAATTCTTTTTGTTAATCCTTTAATCACATACAAAAAAGATGTTCACAAGAAATTTTTGCACTTTTTTGCTAATAAAGTCTTAACACTTTCATTAAAACAACTTGAAATATAACTTCAAGAGTTGCTTTTACACTTTCCTTCTTATTTACAAATTTCCTCACTTAAAAACTTGACTTTTAATAGTCAATAAAAGTCAAGCAATACCTTTGATATCAATAGCAAAAAAAGTTTATAAAGAAAGAAGAATTGATTATAAAGTATCTGAAAGTTTTTCTAACCTTAACCTTTGAAACAAGAGATTTATAGAAATTTTATTGTAATTAAAAAATTTATTCTCTCCATTTTGAACTGTTCTAGTTCTTTTAGAGTTTTCACTTTCATAATTTTCATAGGAATTTTATCTACTTTAGTTTAATCTTAAATTTTGAATATCATAAATTTTTATTAAAGGTAATTAATTAATATGAAACATGTTAGTTTCTGAAATATAAATAAGCTCCTATTGATCATACTCACATATTCTAATAATATTATTAATAATTGAAAAAAAAAATCTATAAAAAAGATATTCTTCAATTGAACAAATTTTTTAAAAAAGCAATCATAATATTAAAAAATAAATAAAAAATATAAAATATAATGTTTATATTTCTTAACAAGTCCCTTAAATGATAAAAAAAAATTTTTTTAAAAAAAGACTAAGATCTTTAAGTTTTTATTTTAATCAAACAAAGTTTTTACAAAGATTTTTCTATCTTAATTAGATCAATTCTATTATAATATAATATTGATATTAGTAATATAATAAGCAAATCTATATATTAGTAAAAGGATAAGTTTCTCAAACATTCTTTTTGAATTCTTTATATCAAGAATAACTAAGTTTATTAGATAATTCAAAGTTCAAAGAATTTTTCAATTAAATAGATTTCTTTTAAGAAAAAACTTTTTACTTAAATAAAAATCTTTTAAAGTAAATTGTTTTCTTTTTTTTTTTTCTTTTTTAGCATATAATTTAACAATTTATTATTTTTCAAGATAATTTATAATAATAAACTGTAGGTGATAATCTTAATAGATAGAGATTATAATTAATTTATTAGAAAAATATAATACTATATTTTAAATTTGACTTAAAGTATCAAGTTTGGACTTTGTTTTGTTTAGTTTAAACTAGTTTAATAGATTTTTTATATTTTTTAAGTAATGCAATTCTTTAACTAATAATATACAAAGATTAATTAGTCATTATATAAATAGTTCATATAATATTGTAGATGTTTCTAATATTTCAATAAAAACATATTATAATAGCATAATTGTAAATTAAAAAAAAAATTAATCAATTTTATTTAATAATAACTTTATTATTTATTATATATTTTTTTCTTTTATAATTTTTTTTTAAATTATTGATTTAATATTGTTTTTTTTTTTTAAAACTCACTGTCAGGTTAAGTATATATATTTTATTAAATATATGTATACTTTATATTAAAAAATATATTACTAAAACTAAGTCTCTATTTTAACTCACTCATCACTATTTTAAGAATTATTAAAACTCTAAGTACAACTTTGGAAGTGATTTATTACTCTATTGACAGTTTAGGTAAAGATCCTTTCAACTGTTAACTTCATTGCTTGCAAGTTACTACTGCAAATTACTTTATAAAATTTTGACAGAGCTTAAAACCCAACTATTTTATTCTATACTCTACTTTTCTTATTAAAATTTCTTGGAAGCTTTCATCTTTAAGATTTTCTTCTTCAGATAGTATATTTTTTTTCTTCAAGGTCATAGTTTTCTAACCTAAAAAACAAAGAGATCTTTTTGTCTTGTTTTCTCTATTAATTTTTTGTGTTCATTTTTATTTAATTACCATTTCATATTTCTTGTTCCAAACTTCTTTTCAAACTTGATTGCAGACTCTTTTTTGTATTTTTATTATTTACTTTCTTGCTATTTCTTCTATACATTTACCTTGATATTTTAGATCTATTATTTCTAAAATAAGATTAGTTCTTATAAGGCCAATATAGAAACTTAGTATATTTTGATTAATTCCAAAAGTTTGTTTCATTACTTTAAAGATGCACTTGTTAAACTCTCATATTTTTTCATAGTTACTGATAATTAACCTGGAATTTTTCTCATTATCTTCTTTCTTTCTTTCCTATAGTAGTTCTTTAAAGTTTTTAATAATTCAATTTATTCTTTTATTTCATACTTCTTATAGCTGATCCTTATAGGGTGAACATTCTAGCAAGTGTTCTATAGTTTCATATTGTTAACTACATATAATACATTTTACTTGTTTATATAAATTCAGTCTTCTTACAACCAACTTATTTAAGATAAGTAACTCATCATTGGCTAGTTTAATAAGAAAGCTTCTTTGTTAAAATTGTTTAAAAGATATATCCTACATATGTTCATCTTTAATCCTTTTTTATATTAGATTCATATGGAAGTCTGATGTTCTAAAATCTGATAACTACATTTTTTTTCTTTTTTGTTTTGCTATATTCATTAATAAGCTACTGTCTTATTATTAATATTCTTAATAAACTGTCTAATGAATTTTCTAGAGTTGTTCCTAGCCACTTGATTTCAATAATAATTTTATATAAAATAAGATTTTTCGATTCAATCAGTAAAAATTTTAGGATTTTCTTAGCTAAGGTATCTATTTTTTTATTATACAAGTCATTTGATTATGCTTTGACTTTTGTGAGCTTTATATTTATATTTTTCTTTTTATTAGTTTTACCATACATATCTATAGAAACTAATTTTTTTCTTTAAGCATCTCTTGTGTATTATTTTTGGATCTTCTCTTTCTAAAGATTTTTACTTGAAAATATATGCTTGGTTACCTATAAAGATCTTTACCTTGCTTTCAATTGGAATTACCAGGAATATTGTTATGATGGCTATCAATTCAACTCTTATAGATGAGAACCAATTATTTACTCCTATTTAGAACTTGCTTTCCTTTCCTTCTTTTTTTATTTGAATTCAAACTACTCACATCTTTATATCTTCTTTTCTATAATTAATAGGTGATCTATCTGAATAAAAAATTAGTTTTTCTTTAGATCCAAGGTTATATTAAACTATATCTATCAAGTGATTCTAATTTATTTCTTCTTTAATATATTCTTTGATAATAGATTCTTCCTAGATTTTAATGTTACGTGATTTACTCTATTATTTTGGATTTTGAGAAGGCTTTAATTGCTGTAAATCACTTTTTAATTTTTTTTTCAAGCACTGATTTGTGATTGTAAATTTTTAAATCTTGTATTCTTTTAGTAAACTTTCTTGTATTGAGATATGATACTATATATATTTCTTCTATTTCTCTTTCTATGATATAGTTATTATTTAATGTTATATATTTAAAACATCCCAAGTATTTTTATATATTGTTCTTTTAATCATTATTAGTATTACAACTGGTAAAATATTCTACTATTATAATATTACCCTTTTTTTGTTGCCTTAATTTTTCTCAAATTACTTGATTTCTTTTGATTTTTATCAC